CCCCCCCCCCCCCCCCCCCCCCCCCCCCCCCCCCCCCCCCCCCCCCCCCCCCCCCCCCCCCCCCCGCCCCTTTAATATGATAAAGACTAAATATTTTTCACCGTATAGGTAGTACAACCATCTGATGCATCGCCAATCAAATGATGCCAGTGGTTCGTAAGATATCTTAAGTTGTTGCCATCATATACGTACCTGTGCAGCCATATATGTGAATTGAAGAATCTAATTTTTAATTTGTAATAAGAATGGAGCTGATGATTAATATCATATATGCTTTTCGACGTTTATGTCGCCGTCAAGGTCTTTATTCCAATAGAATGGATTAAACTCCACTGTCTCAAGATTATTATTACGGTATTAGTAATTGATGGTACTCACTGTAGATCATGACTAAACAATTTCTTTTTGTTGAAAATTACTACTAAGAGAACATAGGAGAATAATAATCAAATAATTCTATGATGAAACTGAGTCTGAATGAAACGGTTGCATGGTGCATATTTACTCAAGACGCTTTAAGAATGAATTTTATTGAGACTGAATGTCATTGCATCTCGTGATGTAAATATTTAGCTTCGTTTTTCTTTAAAAATAATCCCTATCTGAAAAACAAAATAAAGTTTTAACAGAAAATTGAGAACTCTGCTTGCATTGCACTGTCATTTTTCAGTAAAGTTAATAATCATATGAACCAAAACAATTAGATTAGAAAATGATTATCCTGTTAATGACCTGCAGTAACCATATGCATCTCGTATGAAAAAGAAATAGAAGAATATGATCATATAAATAAAGTCGATTGTAAAGTTTATTTCTAATTCAAATTATTAATATACAATACAATCGATTTTAATTTTAGAAAATTTCTTGTCTTGAGGGCGTTGAAAACTAGCCACGAGCAGCACAATATCGACCACGTTTAGCATTGCCATCAAAACACATTAAACCTGGACAACACTGTGGTAAGCCTGGCCCACACGTCCATATATGTGGAAGACATGTTGGTTGGTATTGTGATTGATAGTGTTGTACAGGAAAAAGCGAAAGCAGGTTTTGTCGGCGAACTAATCTTTCTTCATTTGAGTTTTCATTAATATCTTCATCGGATTCTTCTAATCGTCCTTTTAAATACGTTCCAAACAAATGATTGTCATCATTTGATCCAGAGCGAGGATATGAAAAAACTAATGGTACCAGGAAAATAATGAAGCAAAAAAAGTAATTCATATTGTAAAGCTTTTTTCAATTTTAAAAATGATGATTAAAATATGGTAATCACGGTAATATATATATGTCTGTGTTGTACACACTTACCAGTGAAATTTTAAAAAATTTATGATAGTGCCAAAATAAATATGTGCAATTTGTCAAAAATGATTTAATATATAGCTATATGATAATTAGGAGATGCATACACGCATACTTTATGGCTATTTACTATTGATCCCTATTGTAGGATGAAAAAATAGTGCTACATAATACATATTTATTCAGCATCTTCCTCAATCAGAATAAGAAAATTCATTGATTTATCTGTTAAATAATATGCTAATTCATATTGCCATATGCTCTTGCCATTCTTCTATAATGCTAATGTATTGCAGTTAACGGTTAAACTGAATTCATCATCATGTGCAACATGAATTAGTCAGAGATTTTATATTCAGTTGATTAAATCAAATTTGTCATTGATTTTAACAAAACAATTCTTTGCTTTTCGTGTTATAAATCAATAGAATGCAGCTGTATCACCCACTCACATATAATGACTTTTATAGAAATTTTTCTGCTCTCATTGTGTCATATAAATCTTAAAATACAATTTATTATATCATAATTAAAAGGCAGCACTTTTTGACATATTATGTATATATATATATCAAATTACGTGTTCATTAATTAATAAATTCAAAGCATAATTTATAGATTGAAATATATATATTTCAATTTTCAATGAAAACGAATTAAATTAGATAGCAATGTGTTACAATGATATTACATTCTTTGACCGCTTGCAAAATCGCAAGGAAAGTAAAACTTGCTTGTAGGAAATATATTTTGAACGTTAAAGTGACTTGATTATTCTTTTATCGTCGTAATTAGGTACTCAAAAATTAAAATAACCTATCCGTGCAGGATATGGAACGACAAGATGCATTATTGCAAGTATACGACGATGCAGCAAAAACTAACTATACTTAGAAAGATAGATAGAGAATGAGATTTATGATAAGTGCACTCATGTCTATTAACATTAATGTAACAAATGTCAACTAGGTAATATTATAAAATTAATTACTATTGGAAATTTGATATTATATATTCGATAGATAATACATAAAGATATCCATTCTCATGTAGCTGTCATAATGATTTATACGATCTTTTATTTTATTATATGAAACTATTGAAATGATCTATTGGTTCGTGTTATCAATCAATATTAGCTATTTTAAATCAGTTTTATAGAGATGTATTCATGTATGCAAAACGCAAAACGCCTGTTTCGTTATAATTTTAGACCTATTGAGAACGGTGTGCCTTTAAATGATAAATTTTTCAAAAACATCCATCTCTAGTAATGATGTTTTTGCCAGATTATGGAGAACAACTCCGTATACCAACTCAGGTCGTATGATTATATTATAATTGATAAATAAGAACTTTAGCAATAAGTCAAACATATCAAATAGGACAATCGAAGAGAGTAATATTAGCATGTAGATTTTTCTATAGATTGGTTTCAAGAAGTTAGTATTGCAACATGAAATCATATTGATTTTTAATTTCGCACTTTTTATTTTTGTAATAAATTATAATTTTATTTATATAATTCACAAAACATTTGTATCAATATCACATAAAAAGAATAAAAATGGTGCTCGTATACTTGTGAAGAAGCTCGATTCGTATGTGATATTTTATCCCGTCGTAAAAAAAATATAAAAAGTGAGATTTTTAAAGTGACTAATCGCTTCAAAAACTAGAAAAAAAAGTACAACCATTATACATCAAAATCATAAATTTAAGATGTATTAGTAGTTGCTGAGACACTTGAAGCATTTTCTTGTGTAATACCCAGTATATTCTCAATGTCACTGATGGCCAACTATAGATTGATTTTAGAAAAGAATATTTTTCTAGAATTGTCATTACAAATGCTACGAACTTACCATAAAATTACTTCGTCCTTTCATACTTGTGGTTGTAATTTCTTGATTAATCGCATTTAAATTGTAAGCAAAATTTGATAACGTATTTTGTAATGTATCACCAATGGTAATCATACCAATATTTTCATGACGTTGACATTCAAGTAATTCGAAAACAGTTCCCTGCTTATCGCGAACATCAAAACCAACACCATGCGCACGACACATTTGAAAAAAGACACTATAGTGAAGCACTGATAAATTCGAATGATGTAAACGTGCACTCCAAACAGCAAACCGATTTTTTTCTACGGTCTATTTTTAAGATAGAAACATAAAACAAAGCAATATATATATATATATAGAGAGAGAGAGAGAGAGGGATTCGATTTAGCTTACAATATATTCAGGTGCACCGGTTTGCCAATGTCTGACTCGTTGTTTTGCTTGTTTAACTTTAACAGTAAATGAATGTGTTTGTGGATCGAAATCGCCAGTTGTAACGAAACGCATAATACGATAGAGCGATACATGTTCAGAATATCCAATTGAAAGATCAATAGTCCATACTTGTTGTTTATCGGTTTTAGCATCAATGAATGTGACAAAATCGACATCGACATGGCCGTATATATTTCTTTGTTTACATTGTTCCACAATTTGTTCACAATAAGTATTCAATTCTTGTGCTTCAACACTCGATTGTGGAAATGATAGACCCCAACAAGAAAATTGTGATTCAGCATGTAAATGATCACCGCAACATATTACCGTATGATGACCATCAGGTTCAATAGAAAGGCAAATAGTAATTGATGTTACAGAATCCGATGGTGGATATGCTTCGATGATACCGCCTTGAGTTAAAAATACTTTTGAATACGCTTGCCAATTACTAAATTGAGTTTTATTCACACAAACTGTATGTTGTTCAAGAATATCGGGTAATTCTGAAAGAATTTTTGCATATGAATGTTCCTTAAAATACAAAATTCGTAAATATATTAATTATAAACTTTATTGATGTGTCTTATATTTTACTTGTGCCCATCGATTTGACCATTTATCGCCGAATCTAGCTGCTTCTTTTAAAACATTTTTATAACATGGAAGATGTGTAACAACATCACAATACGCAATACCTAAACCATCATAATCATCATCTATTTTAAATAACCAACGTTGAACATCAAGATGTTCAACAATTAATTGTGCTAACGACTCGAATAAATGTTGTTGATTGTATATATCGTATTCACCGAATGGCATTGGAACTTTACTTGCTTCAAAGATTCGTTTTGAACCTGATTTTGTCGAATATAAATAGGATGCTTCAGGTTCACAACCTAAAATATTTCAACAAAAGAAAATCATTTAAAAATAAAAATGAATGATGACTAACCAAACATTGGAATATTAAGATACTCAGATATATAGAGATCATCAGGATGAGAAACACCCGTAACAATATAAGATTCGCGACCTTTAATCAAATTTTTAATTCTAAAATTTAATGACAAGAAATAAGATGGACGTGTTTTTTTCTTCTTCAGATCGATTACCTTTTCAAAGCTCTTGGACTATATTTTAGTAAAGTGGCTAAGCACATGTTATGCATCTAAATAAGTAGCATTGAAATTCTAAATAAAATAGAAATCAATCATCTACTACATACAGGAAAACTATTCAATGCTTCTGGTACAACAATCATAAATCGATCACTAGCATTTTCAGACGTTTCCGATGACGCTTCATCAGTATTTTGTGATACAGATGATCGTAAATTCATCTTAACAAGAATATTATGTATTATATGTAATTAATCTCAATTTCAGTCACTTACTAATTTATTATAATATTGTAGAATTTCATCATTAATTGTCATTGGTGAAACATAAATAATATCAACATTTGGATCATCTAAATCGCATAAACGTCCTATTTGATAATTTTCTCGAACAGGTAAATTATTTATTTTTCTTCTTATGCGTTGTGATAAACCTAACGATGGTATATGAACAATGACACGACGATTCGTTGATATTGATAGCCAATTTCGTCTTAAGTCATTTTGTTTTGTTTTAAAAGAATCGATTTGACGCTCACGAATTATTTTCAATTGTTTTCGTACTTTAGCTAATTTAACATGAGTCAACCATGTTAATGCAATAACACTGGCTGCCCATTTACGTTTTCGTAAACGTATATAAGCACGACGATCACGAAAGCAACGCCAAAATGATTGAATAGCAATAGCTGCTCGTTCTCTACCACCACTTCCAAAAAATCGACGACCCTATTTTATTTATAGAATAGTTGGTTTTATTTTTAAAAAAAAATTTACCGGTTTTTTAATTAATTCTTCAACATCCTCTCGATTAATAACTGTACTAAGAAGTTCTTCTAACGTTGGCTTTTGTTCTAATTCAACTGTTTGTGCAAGATCAGTAACTCTATTTATTATTATATGTAAATTGAATGTAATTCGTTGAAAGATAAAATAAAATTTAACTCTTACTTTTCTCCGTTAATAAATGCAACTGGTATAGCATAGTCATACATAAGTTTTTCTAATATTCGAAATACTGTTACAATATTTCCCCAAATGAGACAATAGAATTGTCGGAATTGTAGGAAATCTTCTGTTTGATCTTTTGTTATACCATTCTGTATAGTTAAACGAAAATTTTTCTTATATTCAAAATTTGATGCTGGTGTTGGCAATGGCCGACCAACAAGACTACCAATACCGCCCATATTTGTTGGCATTGAATTACTTTTATGTGCTTGATTGGCAGATGATTTTCGTGATTCACCCATAGCTGATTCATGAGCTTTGCCACTTGCGAATAGAAAATTTAAATCTTTTTCACTTGGTTCAGTCAATGTTCCACTTGATGCATGATCCATTAATGGTGGGGTTGGTGGTAGTTCATCAATTACAGCAAGTTGGTTCATACTTGATGGATCAAGATGATAGATAGATGTACTAGGTTCTTCTAGAAATAGAAAATTTAGAGAATAATTTCATTATTTTAAATAAATTCAATAGATTTCACCTTTGAGATACGTTCGTGTGCGTAAAATTGGATCATTTAGACTTGATTTTTTCGGTTGAATGGGTGGTGGTTCCAATGTAATATGTGCACCTTGTGGAATTATGCCACGTTCGACTAAACTGATTATTCCTCGTTTAGCATCATCGGATGTTAATGGAACTGGATAGTCCTATAAAATATAACATAAATATGTAATAAATACACATTTATAAAGAATAGTTGATTGATATTCTTACAATTGGATTTCGTCGACTTTTCAGTGGTAAAATACCTGTAGGTTCAACTGTCTTTCCTAACATAAGATTTCTTGATATTGGCTAAATAAAATAATCACATTGGTGTTATATAGAGATTAAAACAAAAGAAAAAAGAAATTGAATCATTACTGATCGTTGTGGTTGCTGTTTGTCAATGATGGGTAATTGAATGCCATAATTTTCGTGTAATACTTGACGATTACGTTTATTAAATGGATTGCGTAATATTTTAGCTTCATATTCAAGACGTGCAACAGCCCCTGGTGCTACTAGTCGAGGTTGCTGAGCACCGATGGATATAATAGGCATGCCTTCGTTATGTCTTTGACGACTAATAAAAATAGATAAAAAAAAATGATTATTCATTTTTTCATTTTCTGCTTAACAAAAAAAGCAATAATTTAGATTACGATGAAGCAGCTGTTGATCTTGTCTGTAATCTTTCTCGTGACGCCCCGCTCATACCATCACGCTGCTGTGGTTGGTATTGAGTAAATTGATCGAAAGCCGATGGTTCTCGAACATGCCGATGTCCACCACGTATTTGATTAAAACTTAACGTTGTGACTGTATTTCCATTGAGCATATTTAATACATTATCTGTTCTCTCCTATCAGTTTTTATTCAAAAATAATCTACATTTTTAAATTTGAATAGTATACCTTTACAGAATGTTCTGCTCGAGCCAACATTTCTGATAAATTATTCATATTTCCATTATCATTCTGTGGTTGTTTCGCAATAAATGTTTTAAGTGTACGAAATTCATCACGAATCTACGTTAAATATTTAGATTTATTATTGAGGAAAAACAAACGAGAATTTCAATTACTTCTTGAAGGATATCGCACACTTTTTCCGCATTCGAATTCTCCCCATTACTATTCACAGTCGACGTTGGTACTAAGGCCATCATTTTTAATAATATATATTCTGAAAAAAGCGAATTCAAACATTGAATAATAAATCTGTTCTAGTGACCTTGAAGAATAGTTTTCGTAGGCGAATGCTAGAAGATACGTTTAGTAAAAGTATCGATTATAGTATGAATGTCGATCATAAATCATTGGCGCAATCTCTCAAAATCAAACATTTTCAAGCCTCGATGCTCTCGAATTTTAGATTATGCAAAATAAAAAAAGTTCTCTCCATTGTTCTTCTAAATCTGCGTTGATTAAGAAAATTTTGAATATTTATTTAACTAATTTAACTATTCATATTAAGATCTCAATTATTTTGAATGAAAAACTTCGAATTGTTTAACGCGCGCATATCATTCTTCGTAATTCTTATTTTGATATTGCGCTAATAAAGAATAATACACCACATATATTTTACGAAGTAACAAAAAAAAACAATGCAATACAGAGGAAGTGGAAATGCTTTTAGCAATCTTGTATCAAATGGGTCATATTCATTTTCGAATCCGGCATTTGTTGCACTAGCTAGTTATTCTTCTATGTCACTTTTGAAGATGCTCGGTATGTCAACTTATACAATGATTCAACGATTTCGTACAGGAAATTTTATTACGCCTGAAGATAATATGTATAAACAATTAATCAATCGATTGGTTCATTCCAGCGGTACTACAAAAACTAAAAATGAACTAGTTGAACGTGCACGAAATAACCATTTGAATGACTTGGAAAATATTATTCCATTCGTCTTAGTTGGCCTATTTTATATTGGTACTCAGCCGAAATTTGATAATGCTCTTTGGCATTTTCGAATTTTTTTTCTGTCACGAATTTTACATACTATAGCTTATCAGGTAATGTTTAATTTCTTTTTTTTTAAATATCTTTTCTTTAATTCGAAATAATCTAGATTCCATTACCACAGCCAGCACGTACAATTTCATGGCTATTCGGTTATTCAAGTATAATTTCTATGACAATACCCATACTCCGTTCGATTCAAATCTAAATAAATTACCTGATTGTAACTCACCAGCTTGAAAACTATTTCCAAAAGTTACTGATAAATTAACATAGAAGAAAATATAAAAAGTGCCAAAAAGAAGAAGTTTCTTTTCTCTGTTTTAAATTTAAACTTTTAGAAAGAAAAAACCATTCGAATTGTATGATGTCTCGGTAATAGACCTCTATGAAATTTTTTCTTTTTCTTTTTTGAAAAAATGAAATGAGGTAATTTAAATGGTACGTTCAGTGGACCAATAAATCGATTTCTTATTGAACACAAAGAACGATGCAAAATACTGTCGCAGGATAAACATAGATATTATGTTTTTTTCTCTTCGTCTTCTTCTTGTGTTTGTAGAGCCAAGGTTTTTATCATCTTAATTTAAATAATGAGACCATACGCGATGTAATCAGTAAGCAATAAGAGTTATTTGAATGTATAACAAATACAAAAGAGCACTTCTGTATACATTTTACAACCACAGATGATTAGATATATACACATCTATACATGTCTAGTTATGTAAGTGAGATGAATAATAGGAATTTATCTTTACATATTTATATGTATTATCGACATGTCGAGGTTGACATAAGTCTCCAACTCTTGTAGTGTGTTAGATTATGACTAAGTTCGTATCATTGTCATTTTTTGTTGCCTTCATCGTGTCATATAAAATAAGGTCATTCCCTAAGATTAAGATTTACTTCGACAAATGATCTTGTCTATTTTGTCATATCATTAATATGCCTTCAGTAAGCTTGTATGCATTTAATATATACATGTATATAAATATCAGTTGAGAATCTGAGAAGCTAATATCAGATATGGTGTCATAAAGTCATCGTGATATTGATTAGGCTTTACTTCTTTTGTTTTTTTTTTGACCAAAAGTTCAGTTTAATGAAGATTGTACATGTTCGTCTTATTCCCCGCCATTATCGATCAATCTATCATAATCTAATTAGGTTGATTGCTTTTCTGTCCAGACAATGTGAATGAACAACAATGATCACGATCGTTGTTGGTCATTCACTATCTAGATCAAATACTTGTAAAACGATAATCAATCATTATTAAAGAACATCGTATGTATGATTCGATTGCATCATCGTAGCACGAAGAGGTCAGGTCACAGATAGAGATCAAACTAATCGTTATTGGATGAACAGAGTGTGACAGCTGTTACCCTCTAGTGACCCTGAGACGCATTTTTTCTCTTCTCTTTCTCTATCTCTCTCTTGTTCTCTCGCTTTCAATCATTGATAAATGAGTGATACTTCTATTCACTTGTAGATCAGTATTTTGCCAATGAGAATGTTTGACTCGTACGAACATCAACAACCATCTCCTGCTATGTCTTCATGTGATATGGAGTCAATGGACGAAATTGCACCTCCAACAGCATCATCCATTCTCTCACTTAATGAGGATCTTACAATGTCAAGTCGATTAAGCACAACAACACCACAAAATTCAGTTGCACTTCGCTTCAAAGTTTGTTTCTTGTAAAAAAATCTTTATTTTAATCTTCTTTTTTTTCGTTCTTTACTGAAGAAAAAACGCAAACGTAAACTTGAACCAGATACAGTATCACTTCGTTCACTTGAAGATTTAGTTGGTGATCATTTTCAACGAAGAAAACGTTTGTCATTACCACGCTTATCATCTGTATCAGAATTATTAAGTCCAATGTGTGACCGTGTTATAAATATGCTTCAAACAACAAAACAATCTTCATCAGCTAATCTACTAAATCTTATCAATCATAATACAAATCATAATTCGAATATACGTCGTAAGCCAACATCGCAGCAAACATCAGCGAGTGTATCATCGCCAACAACAGTAAAGAAATTTCGTGCAGCTTGGTCAGAAACATGTGATGGAGAAAAACTTAAACAAACCATGACAGCAACAGAAATTGAACGACAAAATGTTCTCTATGAATTGTTTTCCGAGGAACAACAAATGATTGAAAATTTAGGTTTAGCACAACGAGTAAGAAAAAAGTTTTTAGAACGTGAGGAAAAGACTAGTAATGAAATAAAAATTTTTTTTATAGGTCTATCGAAATGGCATGAAAACATTGAATATTTTAACAGATTCTGAATTAAAACAAATCTTTGGACCACTTGAAGATATTTTACCATTACATGAAGGTAAATCCTTCTATTTTTCTTTTAAGAATAAATTCAGGATACACTCTTATTATTTAGATCTTCTCTATCGATTAAAACCAAAAGGTAATTCATCGATTGATGCCGTTGGACAAATTTATCTTGAATGGGTATGATAGATATTTTTGGTTTTTCATACTTAGTTTATTTCTATTGATTTAGTTTCAACGTATTCGTTCATCATATGTTTCCTATTGTTCTAATTTAATCAATGCAAAAGAACTACTAGATGCTAAACGATGTGAAGAAAATGGCCGTGTTGATGATTATCTTAAACGTTGTACCGATTCAGGTTTTAGTCGTAAACTTGATCTTTGGGATTTTCTTGGTTCGTAAAACTCAATTTATTTTATTTTATTATGAACAATTTTTCTTCTCATTCTAGACCAACCACGCAGTCGTCTGATGAAATATCCAATTCTATTCAAACGTATTCAGAAACGAGTAAGATCATATCTCTACGATAGAAGAAAACTTACAGTTGGTAATAACTAAATTTCGTTGCTTGATAGTATAAGATAGATTCACATTTTTAATCCAATCGAAAAAACTTATTTCAAATGTTTCTCGAATCAAAAAATGTGAGAAAGTATAAAAAAAATACTGTAAATAAATTGAGTATTTTTCTTATCTATAATTAATACTCTCAGACATACGGTAACACTTTTTTTGTATTTTATTTAGACTAAAGATGGACATGAAGATAAACGAATATTACTTGAAACAGTAAGTTAAAAAAAAAAGAAACGAAAGATATTGAATAGAACGCTAATTTCTTATTAAGATTAATATTGTTGAAGAACTTATAAATGATGTTAGTCAAGCAACATCAGCACAACTTTGTTCAAATGTTATAACACGACTCGTTTATACGAATGATGAACAAGTAAAGAAAATAGATTTTTTTATTTGAATTATTAACAAATGTTTTTTCTTCTTCTTAGAAACATTCATTGATTGAAAAACAAACCCGTATTATATGCCAAGGAGAATTAAAAAATAATCGTGGCCAAGTAAGATCGTTGTTTTTTGTTTTGTTTGATATTCTTCTTAAACGAACACACTCGATTTTTTTTAAATAGAAACTACACGTATTTTTATTTGATGATGTTCTTGTATTTACACGTATGGCAACACGAAATGGTATAAAATCCTATCAATTAACAAATTATCCTATTCCTGTAACATCACTAATAGTTGAAGATATTGACGATGGTGTTAAAATCCCTGAATTATCATCTGGTAGTTTTTCACGTACATTAGCTGGATCAAAACCTGGTTTGTTGATATATACATCTATATATAAATCAAATTGCAGACATAAATATTGTTTTTTTTCTTTTGATTTAGCTCGCAATGTATTTCGATGTTCCTCATCATCGTCAATAGATAATAATAATAGTCGAAATACATCTATGTTATTACAAGCGCGCGATATGTATGATAAACAACAATGGCTTAGTGCATTTCGATCAATAACACCAATGGATAAACAATAATAATTAGATTAGTCTCTTTTTTATGTTTCCTTTTTCTTTTGGTTCATTAATTCAAACAGCAACACTTGATCTGATATGATTTTTTTGTGTTTGTTCTCTATGTATAGAAAATCTTGTTTTTTTGCTCTATTGCGCTGTTTATCTTTTGACCATTGATCTAATGACATCAACGAACTAAATAATATAGTAGAACTATGTTTTACATCTGTTTTTTTCTTATTTGTTTTTAAAAAAAATATTATGTGGTTCAAAGAATAATATTAGTTGATATACAGCTATTTGGAAAGAATAAAAATTGCTTTTTTCCTTTATATTTTACATAGTGAAAGGGGGAAAACAAAAAAGTCGTTATTTTTTTATATTGAAATTACCTACTTGAAATTGCATTTTTTGTTTTATCTCTTCCTACTTGTAGCCCGCTAACCAAATAGTGAAAACAAAAAGAGCACTGGATATGATTGTGTGCGTCTTCTATGTAAAATGATTATTTTATTAGATGCGATAAGAGGTCGGCGAAAATTGAGACTTCCATTTATATATATTGCAGTCACCGTTTTGAAACATCACTTCTGCAAATTTAGTTTTCAGTCATGTCATCAACGTCTACTTATAAGTTAATTTATTTCAATGGCCGTGGCCTAGCTGAAACATCGCGTATGCTTTTTAAAGCTGCTGGTCAAGAATTCGAAGATTTTCGTTATTCAGTTACAATCAACGGAGGTCAATATATTAGACCTGAATGGGACACAGATAAATCAAAATATATATATGAAAAAATTCCGGTACTTGAAATTGATGGTGGTAAACATATAATAGTTCAATCAAAAGCAATCGAACGATTTCTAGCACGTCGTTTCAATATGTACGGTACTAATGATGTTGAAGCTGCAGTTATCGGTAACAAAAAGTTTATATTTGACTAATATAAATGATTTAGATAAATATTTCTACGTATAGATGCGGCTGGTGAACAAATCAATGATGTTAAACAAGCATACAATAAAGCTAAAGCAGCTGGTGCTGATAGTGAAAAGAAATTTTTTGAAGAAGATTTGAAAAAAACGCTCCTGGCATTTGAAAAACAGGCAACTAAGGATAATTCTGGCTATTGGATAAGCTCACATTTATCATTATTTGACATTCAACTTTATAATTTAATAAATTCCTTTGCTGATCAAGAAAGCGTTCAAAAAGTATTAGAAGAATATCCAACACTAAAAACTATTCATGATAAAGTTGGACAAACAGCAGAAATTAAAAAATGGGTTGAAGAACGCCCAAAAACAATATTTTAAAACGACTGAGTGAAAATCAGTCTTAAAGATTGTTTTTTATACATCTTTTTAAATTCTAATAAATAAAATCATTAGATCAATCAAATAAAAAATCTAAAGAACATTAAATAGATTTAGACTTATTTCGCTGATGCATCATCAATATTTAGCGCATGTTTTTTCTCGTATAATTTCTGTTTTGAAAGTCATAGAGAAGTATTAAAGAAAATACATGTTGATAAAGTTGAAGAGAAACTCAAAGATAAAATCTTATTATTTCGAGTTATTACGATCTACTAGTGTGTACTGTCCAATTTGTAAATTAATACAGAAAATAAATTATGCTTTATATTTGTTATGTTCCAGAGATGGACAAGTCAAGTCTAAAAATGTATATATTTGAAGGTATTTTATTCACTTCAATTTCGATTTTCTAACTTGAAATGTAATGCAAAATAGAAATGAAGATCAGGGCATACGCTCAGACATTGAAATTGCATGAAATAAGATAATGGTGTCAAAATATGTAGAAATGTTTTTTCTCGATTTCTATTGGGTGCTTCATTTCCCAACAATTCGTTTCACGAAAATACGTTGTTTCCTTTTTTTTCTAAAAATTTAATTGAATCATAATTTAGAAAACGATAGTAAAACTATAATAGGGGCCAAGGAAACAGTGTTGTCGGTAATTTGCTTTTGATTTAAGAAAACTTGATGAAAATCGGGCTGAATTACAATTGGACGTGATTTGTCCGTCTCTGTTATGTTCAATAATAGAACGCCTTATATTCTTTGATCTTGTAGGGTTCATGGATAGTTATCATTCGTATGAAAATACTCTATTGTAAAATACAATAGCATTTGATGAGAATTAAATGACTATTTATTCACTCACTCAGGACTTGAAAAAAGCTATTATACTTTTATCGATTGCTATATAGATTTAATTATTGACTTATGCAAACATACATTTCTACAGAGATATTGTTTTGTTTGAATAAAATTCTACAGAAATTGTTTTTCGTTCATTAACCATAATAACCTTTGATTTTTCTACAGCTATCTGTTCCGAATGATGGGGACATGGGGACATTCAATAATCCATTGAATTTTCTAACGAAATTATTTTTCTTCTCGCATATAAATCTCTCTCTCTCTCTCTCTCTCTCTCTCTGTATTTTTTGAGTGATGGGGACACGGGGACATTGAATAATTGAGTGAATTTTTTCTTTTAAGTTTGTTTTAAAAAGTATTGATTAGGATGAGCAGAGGGTAAAAAATCGCAATAAAAACATATCTGTCAGACGAAAAGTTTTTCCAACGTAAAAGCTGAATTTTCATGGCTTAAGTAGATTTTCTGCTGTAGTAACATTCAGAATGTTTTAAATACATATCGTTCTTGATCGTATGATTCCCTTTTTTTGAACGTCAAGTTTATTGATATGTATTTCAAGTTTTCCTAAAAACAAAATTAATCTGAACAATGTTTTACCAAGCTGAAAAGATACATTAACATAAATAAGAAGAAGAATCGAATCGACATAGCTTATGCTTTTTAGTTTTGCATTGCGTAAAAACGAGCAGTAATAAATACGGATCATATCATTAAAAAATACACAATTTTTCAAGCAAATCTTATTAAAAGTTTAAATACAAAAAGGAAATTTGTAAATAGTTTTAAATTGATATGATAAATTATCGAAGAATAACTAATTCTTCCATGCTCTTATACTACAATTATATGAATAGGACAGAGAATACTAATTATAATATGACTCACAAATGCAAATCAAAAGTTTATTCAAAGAGCAAAATATATCAAGCGAAAGTCTTGGTTGCATGTTTTATTAATAAAACCAAAAATTTATATTGATATATTTTACTAAATGTTTTTAATAGGACTTCCTTCGTTAATGATTATTTAAATGAATTGTTTTTGATTCTTTATCAAAGCCTTATAATTAAAAAAGAGTTTTTTTAAATTTTTATTGTTTAAATTATTTCGCGCATTCCAATCTCAACTGAAATTCTCATGTCAACTGTGACATATGTTGAGATCCAATTTATTAAAAAGAAATCATTTTTTATTGAAATGTTATGTTCCAAGCCGAAAAATTCAAGAGAAAGTTTCATCGATTGAATACTAACATCAGAATGTTCATGAAAAATATTGTTAGACATCAATTTATGTAAGGAGATCAAATGAAAAATTTTGATAATATCTCCACAACAATATGAATTTATTATTTGATACTTACTTAGATTTAAATTTTTTCAAAGATTTTGATTTTATTTTAAAATCATTTTCATCCGTTGTTATT